TTGTCCTGTTCCCTTCTGGAGAGGGTCCACAACTTCCCTAGTCTTTCTTTTATCACGGACATACGTATAAGTTTTTCTTGTTACCGTTGATGTCCCTGGCCATATTTAATTCTATCTTGGCTTTAGCTTTCCTTACCTGATCCCATACTGCTCGAACAACTTCTTTGTACTGAATGTGGAATGAGGCAGAAAAACTACCTATTCATCACTGTTGGAAGTGTGCATGCTTCCCTGCAGAGTCTGAAATGCATTCTAGTATTCCTGACTTCTTAGATTCTTCTGCTAATAGCAAATGTCTGATAACAATTGAAACAGTCCCCCATCTTTAAGTGTTAGGCTAAGGTTAATGACCTCCAGCAATCAGTTTGGTGACCAGAGATTTCAAGCTTGTCATCCACAACTAAATTTTCCAGTCCTAGTGGTTATCCATATCTGTGAGTTTCCATCATGCCAGTATTTGACTTCTTAAAACCTAGGAAATTCCCCAAAAGCATCCTAAAAGGGTTCTAGGTTGGTGGAATCAAATGTCCAATAGCTGTTCATTAGATAACAGGAGGAAATGGACTGGTTGTGTGGTCTTACTGACTACTGACTCTTTGGGCTTCACAAGTTGTCTTCAGAGGCTTTGCAAAATTCTCATGCCAATTCTGAATTTAACCAATATATGTAGTACTCATTTTGTCTGGCAGAATTGATGTAACCAAGCACAATTTCTACTTGGGGGCAGAGGGTGGGAGGGGATGTTGGCACAGCTTGTGCTAACTTCAAGTGCAGCCGCAAATACTTACGAGTTCTACAAATCAAATAGCAAGTCACTTGGAAGCCTGTACTAACTGCACCAGTTTTATGTAGAACGCTGTGGTAGTGCTGAGCTCCCTCAACTCCTCTCCTACAGTAATCTGCCCTATGGGCCGTTTCTTTCAAACTTTTTGCAAGTATGTTATACGATCCACCAGTTTTAACAGTATTTCAGTTGACATTATAGAAAGGCTTTTTGATGTGGAAAAAGTCACTTTATGTAACTTAAACAATGATCTCTGTATTTTGACAGGGTGCTGTTTGGACAATGAAATTTTCTCACTGCGGTCGATTACTTGCATCTGCAGGACAGGACAACGTAGTAAGAATATGGGTTTTAAAGAATGCTTTTGACTATTTCAATAACATGCGAATGAAGTACAACACAGAAGGTATCTTTCTATGCATCGATAGAGCTCTAAACCACTAGAAATTCTAGTTATTTGGGAACTTAGAGTTGACCGTAGTGTTTCTGCCTGTGTTCTAGGCCGTGTCTCTCCCTCCCCATCTCAAGAGAGTCTGAATTCATCAAAGTCTGATACTGATGCAGGGGTACGTACACTAGATACTGGGAGGGGAAGAGAGGGGGTTGCAGTGTTCTGTAATGCCAGATTTTCACTATTGCTTTATCCAAACACACATTAAATAGTTCTTGGCTTGTGTCTTTGAGGCATAGATAAACTGTCTTATCAATAGACATCTTCAGTCAAATACTGATATCCCACGTGTATGGGGTGCAAGCAAGAAGGTAAACTTCAATGCATTACAAAATCTGCATAGCTTTGCTGTGGCCTTCTGGCAGAGTAGATTTCTGACTGAAATGCTGAAGGGGAAAAAAACCTCCATTGTTGAATTTCCTGTCTTAAGTGTTTTGCCTCGGAACGTTGCTTGTGGGTAACATCTAACTTGATGATGTGTTTGCTGAGGAAGGCCAGACTGAACAACGGGATACTCAGGTTTAACACACTTCTGACTTACTTACATTTTTCACATCTGTGTAGAATAAAATGCAACATGACTGACAACAAGTATTAAGACATTCTTACTTGCAGAGTGTTCAGATACTTTGGGAATCTTGCCATTAAAATTAATGTATTTAAGGTTGGTTTTTTCCATTTTTGGTTTTCAGTACTCTAAGAAACATGACAAAATCAGGGTTTAAGCAAAGATTTTAGCAGTAGCATTATTTGACGTGCACTGTTTTGGCGGGGCGGAGGTGGAAGGGTGCAAGAATCTTTCTTTACCTTAAGTGAATAGGTTTGCTTAGCCACGCACACCAGGGATGTTGTTTGAAGTGATTTTTTGCTGGAGAGGAACTTCTAGGGTGTTGGGTTTTTTTATTTTGCACCTGCTAACTCTGAAAGGGTTTCTTCTTGGAAAGTTGTCATTCTTGATATGCACTAGAAACATGGAAACTTTAACCCACAGTTCACATTCTAAATTGGAATGCAGTTTACAAGGTCTATACGCTTCGTTCCAAAAGCTTATCTTCAAATGTTTGCTTAAATTGCTGTCAAGCTTATCTCATTGAATGAAAGCTGTATGGATGGAAAATGTACAGCTTATTTTGCAGTTTCAAGATGATGCTTCACAGCCCATTGTACTTGAAATTTACTTTGGTTATTTGTTAGTGCAGTGTTGTTTATTTTAAAGTCATAAGAATTGTTCTTCAAATTGTTATTGGCCCTGTACTTTTTGTAAGCAGTAATTGCTTTTTGTTGATTTTTCCAGCTAACATTTTGTAACGTTTCTGTATGTTTCTCTGATAGATTTGCAGTGGAGTTGATGAAGACCCAGATGATAAAAATGCCCCATTTCGTCAACGGCCGTTTTGCAAGTACAAAGGGCATACAGCAGATCTTCTTGATCTTTCCTGGTCTAAAGTAAGGCGCCTTAATACAGACTACACAGTTCTCCTGTGCTTTCATTGTTTCCTTTTGTCAATTTCCATTGGAACCATACTTCTAAACAATATGAAACCATGATTGAAGTTAAGAGAAAAGATTTGTAAAGACAACGCTTATTTTGGCTGAAATAGTTGTGGTAAGATGAACACGCTTCTTGGGCTAGTCTAATTAAAAGTGGCCTTAAAAAAAAAAAAAAACAAAAAACAAAAAACAAACAAACAAAAAAAAACCACACAAAAAAAACCCACCAAACAAACCCAGCCTCAAGCTATTAACAATTGTATTCAACAGTGAAGTTAAATTGTTTAGAGTGGGAGGAATTTCCTTTGAGCTGTGTGATTTCCAATTTATGCTGTTACTGCTTTTCTTGTCTTCAGTATGCTTCACTGTTTTTATGCAAAGTGTACAGATTCTAAAGTTGCCAACTATATACATATATTTTAGAGAATTACCTTGTGGTTAACTTTGAAAATGTTTTACATAAAGCTTATTCAGTTAATTTTCCACATTGGAATACAGTTGTAATTTTAAGAACTCAGTCTGCCTGAAGGCTCTTAAGCAGGATAAACTCTGACCCTTCTCTGAAGCCTCTGAATACTTTAGCTACTTTCCAAGTATTCATTTCCATTGAGATTCTTCCAGAAAATTTTCTGTGACAGCATCAGGGTACTGATCTTAAGGAAAGCACTGATTAGTAGTGATAATTTAGATAAAACATCTGAAAGGATAAAATTTTGAATTTCATAGCAACGGAGAAATTGGTAAGGCTTTAGCAACCAGATTGCTTCTGTATTTTCTGTTACTTTTGTGTCTCTTAATAACCATGGAATTCTCTTGTTTCACAGAATTACTTCTTGCTTTCTTCTTCTATGGACAAAACTGTCAGATTATGGCACATATCAAGAAGAGAATGTCTTTGCTGTTTCCAGCATATAGACTTTGTCACTGCTATAGCATTCCATCCAAGGGTAAGTGTCATTCCCCTTTTTCTTCTGGAGAGGCAGAATTTGAAATTACAAGAGTCCTCCTCCTTTATTTTAAATTAAAAAAATAATAATTGAATAATAGAGTTTGTGCACTTCAAAAATATCCCTATTGGATAGTATTTCATAACCTTCAGTGTTCATCTTCACTAAACTTCTCCAGGAGGGTCCATGTGGTTTAACCATTTGTAGGCATGATATGGAAAGGGAATTGTCGATTGGCTGTAACATCACAACTGGTATAGTTTAGATGAACTTAATGAAAAGTCAGAATTTCCAGTGAAGGATGTTGTGATTACATGTTAGTGCCAAAAACATCATAATGAAATTGAACAGATTGTCCAGAGACCACAGAATCCTTGGGGATGTTTAAAACTTGACAGGATATAACCCTCTACAGCCTGACCAAACTTTTGAGGCTGTCCTTGCTATGAGCAGGGGACATGGACCAGAGACCTCCAGAGATCCCTTCCAACCTATCTTATTTTATGATTTTTAAAAAAATACTCTAGTAAGCACTCCTAATATTAGTAAAACTCAAGCAGAGAAAAAGCGATTTTCAGTGTTCCCTGAACATACACAGCTGGTAGATGTCTAGGGAACTCTGAAAGGAGCTTTCAACTCCTTGACGAGGTTAGTATTTTTCTAACTTATCTTGAGAAGGTAAAAAGTAACTGTGGTAACAGTTTTCTAACTTGAGGTATACACGCTGCATGTATGTATATAATCTTGTCAAAAATCTGTAAGAAATGGAACTCTGTTTACCAGTAAATTTGACATCCTTTTTTCAGACTTTACTTAAACATGGTTATCTCATTTGAGAGTTCTTATTTGGGAGATTCTGGAGAGAAGCTGTTTGGAAATGGGGCGGAATGGTTTTCAGGAAATCAGGGCACAGTCATGGCATAAGCAGAGATTAATGTAGTGTGTCTTCTCAGGATGACAGGTACTTCTTAAGTGGTTCATTGGATGGGAAACTCCGACTCTGGAACATTCCTGACAAAAAAGTGGCATTATGGAATGAAGTAGATGGGCAAACAAAATTGATTACAGCTGCCAACTTCTGTCAGAATGGCAAATACGCAGTCATAGGCACATATGATGGAAGATGCATCTTCTATGACACGGAGGTAAAAACTTTTTGAGATTTGTATTTTTTTACTGTTAAATAACAAACAGATTTAAAAGTCATGCTAATTTAAATGTCAAGTAACAAACCTGTTAGAACTTGAAGCAAAATAAGTTTTTACACAATTGTTTCAAATCAGGTTATGTTTTAATACCTTTTCAGCACCTGAAGTACCATACACAAATACATGTGCGTTCTACCAGAGGCCGAAATAGAGTTGGAAGAAAAATTACTGGCATTGAACCCTTGCCTGGGGAAAATAAGGTACTGTCTTTCAGTGCAACTTCGGCTCAGTGCTGGAGTCTGATATTTACATCTAATGCTTAGTAAGTTTGTGGTAAGTCTTATTTATAGTCATTGACTTAAATCAGAAGTCTTTTAACGCTGCTGAAATGAAAGCTACTCTTTGCTGATTTAGACTAATACAATACTAATAGTGGTAAAATAGATTTATTTTTTTTTAAATGATGTTATGCTCTGATTAATGTAAGGGTGAGAAAATAGCTTTCAGTGAAAACTTCTTTGACACAACTAACCTCTCTTGCATTTAATATTAATTTGGAAATGTACTTCATACAGAACCTGAAAAAATGTTGAAAGCTCAGAAGCTGTTATCCAAACCAGTGTACTCTGTTCTTCAGAATCGGTCCTTTTGTTTAGCTTCAGTCTAAACTGAAGTCTTATGTTGTGAAAAGGTCAAGCAAAGAACATGCTGTTGAATATTTAAGTCATAATCTAAAGCTGGAGAGTTTCTCACTTTATATAAAGTGTCAGGGGTGATGTGGGGTCAACAGCTGGCTCTGTTAGAGTAGATCACCAGCTGTTATCACTTGTATTGGACTCTCTTATCAATAACACAGAAATGACTTAATTCCGAAGACATACAGAAGATTCAGAAATCAATAGTGCCTTTGGGTTTGCATCAGATGCTGTGTGTTGCCATATTAGATGATGTAATAAAACAGAGCTCAGCGTGAACTCTTTTGAAAATAAATAGGAAGTTCTGTAATCCAATTGTGATGGTGTTCCAAGAGTTTTCACAGCTTTGTTGCATAAATGATTAGATAAGTAGCGGTCAGTACTTGACTGCTACTCTGCATACCCTTTTCCTGGCACCATCTCGAGGCTTACTGCTTACCTACAGTCTGGTCTGCTTCTAAGGTACCATAAAAGGGCTAATCAGCTGAATGCCCTTACACGTTTTGACAACCCTTTCATAGACTTCTCTGTTCCTTATAAGTACATTTAAGCTTCTGATCGGAGAAATGTGAAAAGGAAGCTAACTCGCATCAACCAAGAAAAGCCTAGTTTGTTTATATAGCAGATGGTTACCTCTGATCTGTGCTTCATGATTGATAGGTCATGACTCTCCAGAAATTTACCTCACTAGAATAGCTGTTTGGCTATATTATTGTGGAATGTGTTCCAAAATTTCCTCTGCAAATTGATGACTGTTCTTTGGGCCTGCATTTTACTTCAGTAAAGAGCAGCTGTTCTGGTTCAGACCAGTCAGGATGATCTTGACAGTGAAGTTGTGTTCTGTCCATTGACAGAAGACAAGAGAGAAAAATGTCATTGTCCTAAAACTTGTTCAGCTTCTCTGGGCCTATTCTTTGTTTATGTCTCTCTTTTTTAATCAAAAGAACTGGAATTCTGACTGTTTGAATTAACTCTGTTGCTCCTTCTTGGGCATGCTAATGTTTTCCACTCCTAAATTGTATTCCTTTCTTTTCTAGATACTAGTGACATCAAACGATTCCAGAATCAGATTGTATGACCTAAGAGATCTGTCTTTATCTATGAAATACAAAGGTTATGTCAACAGCAGCAGCCAAATCAAAGCCAGCTTTAGGTAAGACAGTATCATAACAATGGAGTTGTTGGATTTGGGAAATGCTGTGGCTGAAGTACAGAGGCTTTTGTTTAAATAATCTGTTTACCTTGGTATTAAACTGAGACTCTGAAATGTCTCTTGGCTGGGAATACAAAGGCTCTGGTCAAGAATGACAAAGCTGCAGATAAGCAGGGAGCTTCTGTGAATGGGTGAATCCTTCTATATTGACAGTACGATGCAATGTCTGTTACTATTGCTGTAAATGCAAGAACTGTGCTAGAACTGATGGGGCTGGGACACCGCATCTTTTCTCCCTGAGAATAGGTTTGACTTCCTTATTCTTGTCAGGTATCGTTGCAGATGTGTTGGTCACCAAACTGTTGCCCAGGCCTGTTGGTCATTGCTTGTGTATTATCACTGGCAGGAAACAGCCTGCAAATCTGAGTTGGAATTCTTTTTTCGTCTTTCTCTGTGCTGGCCTAAGATGCTTTTCTGAGTTTGAGTATGTTACTGTGACTGTCATGGAAATACTGTTTTTTAAGGTAGCAAAAGAGAGGGAGTAGAGGGAGAAGAATATTTGTTCTGTTCCCTCTTGGAGTCTTGCAGAAGCTGAAGGAGAAAAATGCTTTGGTATCTGTTTAACCTGGATGTTTGAGCAGAGGAGCATCGAAGTGCTTAAGGAATAATGCCAAGTTTAATCTTGATTGTCAGCTGTTGGCCTTTGAAAGCATCTGTAAGGTTGACCCAGTATTTCACAAAATGGCTGAGGTTGAGAAGGAATCTCTGGATGTCATCTTGTCCAGCTCCTGTCCTCAAGATTAATTTCCCAAATTAAGTCATGTCTACATGACAGGGCTGTATCATAGTTAGCGTTAGAGTTTAGGTATGAGGTATACTCATGCAGTAGGTAAATGAAAAGTAAATACTTGAGTTGGATTTGCAGGTACTGTTCTGTCTCTGTCAGTGTGCATTATACAGTCATCTGGTTACAATCTTGTTGAATGCCTTTTATCTTCTACCTGTGTAGATTTTTTTTTGCCCATGATTGTGTTGTAAACCGTTCGTGTTACACAGTCTCAGATGTTCCCACAGGTTCCAGACTCAAACAGATGCAAATTGCACTTAAAGATATTGCCATTTTCTTGTTGCTGTGTATAGCTGTTAGACCAACCCTCTTCTGTGTCAGAAGCTGCAGGAGAACAGCTTCTGTGTGCTATTCATGAGAACTATTTTTTCTTCCAGAAAGAGAGCATCAGGAAGCTTGCATGCATGTTCGCTTAAGGACTGTGTATTTTTTTGAGCTTCAGTCACTAAAATAAAATATCAGTTTGAATTGTGAACTTAGCCTGACTGTGCTTGTAAAGCTGCAAGTCATCTGGAGAGCTACTGTAATGGTTACTGGAACAGCTAAGAAAAGTAATGGTTTTTCTTCTTTAAATCTTAGCCATGACTTTACCTACATTGTAAGTGGTTCAGAAGATAAATATGTTTATATTTGGAGTACGTACCATGACCTGAGCAAGTTTACCTCTGTAAGGAGGGATCGTAATGACTTCTGGGAAGGCATTAAAGGTAAAAATCAACTTTTGATCTTTGTTTTATCAAAGCTCATATAATTTTAAAAAGTAAATATTTTTATCTTCTAGTTTTTATTTGCTCAGCAGTACTATTCATTTAGTTTGAATAAATTGTTAGCAAGATACATTGTAAGTGGTGGATTTTCAGTAAGTGGACTGTCAGAAAACCTTGTACACAGGAAACTCTCTACAGATGCATGATTGGGATAGCAAGAGACAGAGTAGCTTAGAGTTTGTCCAACTTCAGTAAGAGATTCTGAATGAATATAATGTTTTGCTGGCAGAACTTGATGGTGTAAGTGTAGAAAGCAAAATAATTATCAATCCTTACATCCTTTATGGAGAAATGACTTTGAAAACAAATGCAAGCTTATTTTCTTCCATGGCAGGATTTAAAAAAAAATAAAGTAAAAAAAAAAATAAAAAAAATAAAAAAAGAGCAACTCTCTTTTATATCCTACAGACACACAGTTTTTTGGGAAATGTGGAGCCATGTTTATATCAAACGTGTTTTGGAGCTCTTGCCAGTTAGTTTTGGGCACTTACAGGAACTTCTGGGATCCCTGAGCTTATAACACAATGACAATTGCTCCTTGAATGATGACCTTACCTGGTGCCACTAGCACTGAGGTTCTTGTGTATTTACTAAAACTTATGCCTGCTATTCTTGTAAAATTAACGATTCCTTGGGACAAGGTAATCAAAATTGGATTGTCTTTCTGAAGCGCACAATGCAGTGGTCACATCAGCAATTTTTGCTCCCAATCCCGGTTTGATGGTGTCACTGGAAACTTCTGAAAAGCAAGAAGCTGAAAGTAAGGGAGAAGATTCTGAAACATCGGATACAATACCCTCTGGTATGTGTTTAAGATTACTCTATTTGATACCATGGTATGAGGAGGAAAATATTATGAAGGATACTTTCAGGGGGGTTTCTTGAGAAGAAAAGTCCTTGTGGTGGCATGGATATTATATTCCTACCTTAGCAGTCCAACATTTTGGCAGCTGTTGCGTTCTTAAAACCTGACAGAATGTGAAGTGAGGGGCATAGCTGCTGTCTTGTGTACTTTAGAATTATTCTTTTTACACTTGAGCTGTTAGGAAGTAGAGCTGTACCAACATAGAACGGAAAAGTCACAGGTTCTGTTTCCAGGTACCTTATCTTTTAATGAGAGCTTGATTTTTTTTTTTAAATTTTTTTTTTTAATGAACTAACAGTTTATTCTCTTTCCTTATTAAGGAGCTTTGAAGACAGATCACACAGAAGTGCTTTTATCGGCTGACTTTACTGGAGCAATCAAAGTCTTCATTAACAAAAAGAAATACTTATCTTAGTTGTTTTTCAACTGACAGCATAAAGCTATGGTACTGTAGGATTAAAATTCCATAAATAATGCGGGCAAAAGCAAAGTATCTAATATAATAATGTTACAGGCTGATTTATTTTTAAATCTTTATTTTAAGGCTACTCAAATATTGGATCCTTGGAAAGCAGTGTCTACCTATTAACACCTGGGCTTGTAGAATAGAAAGGAATGTGTAAGACCTGCCAAATGTTAGACTTTAAACTTTCTATGAACAATTGTTTTGCAATGTAATTGTGAACCTGCACAGGTTTCTGCACGAAAATGTATTCACACATGTGTGTGCCTTTTGGTTACATGCACTGATTTGAACATATATCAAAAGATTTTAGTGGTGCTTGTGGCCACTAGATGTCAGGAATGGGGATGGGAAGGGAAGGTTGGAGGTATGGCTGGAAAAATGCTGAATGATCTAGTCTGATCTTTGCACAAAATTCCATTTGAGAAAGATCTTGAATTTGTAGTAGCTATTGTTCAGATTTTTAAGTTATGCAAGTTTTTGATGGGTCAGCAACCATGTGTAAATGTTTTTATAAATTTCTCAACTTCAGGACGTGAAAAAATTTTTGTTGTCTTTTAATTGTTGTGGACTTTAGATTCCTTTCTTATATATAATTTTTTGCACACTGGAGCACAATACTTGTGTAAAGAATTCTCTCATTCCTTGTCACGGGCACCAGGATATATTCACCTTCCAGATAAAATTAAGCTGCATTAGAAAGTTCTTATATTTTACAACTATGTAAAATAAACTGTTTACATTTTTTAAGCATTGTAGCTTAAAGTTTTAAGTTCTTCTGATTTGTTTAGTGCCATTGAATTTTGAAAGTCTTTGTAAATATTCGTATAAAACACCTATGAAGTAACATTCTGGGCATCATAACCCATGAAATGTTATTGATGGTCAAGTGTTTCAGAGAACAGATGTATCATTAAACTTGGTCGCACACTTGGAAACTGTTGCTTCTTTTCCATTTTGATTCATAAGTTTGCCTTTTGTCTACGTACTTTTGATCTGTTTTTCAGATCATTGATCATGCATGTACTTTTTAACTTTTGGGTTCTGCTTTTCCTGATCTTGTCACTTTTTTGATGACAGCTTTTTTTCTGAAGTAGTGAGGAATGGAGTACTGCAACTGGATATTAAGCAGAATTAAGAGTAGTTATATGATAGTTTAGTGTGAGGAGGAGTGTGTAAAGAATCCTCTCCTTCCTATTAGTGGAAGAATGAAGGAATGGAAAGGCAGGAAATGAGTCTTACTCTTAATTCCTTTTTTACTCAGGTGAATTTGACCATGACTTTGTGTAAAATTGTCATGAGCAAAAAGGCAGTTAGTTGCAAGGGGTGTATCGTCAGACAAAAACAATACAAAAATGATACACGCTATATAAAATTATTTTCAGTTGACACATTTGGAGTAAGTTTGACTCTCAGATTTGAAAATACCTCTATAGATGAGACAAGCTAAACTCTCTCCAAGATTTTTTTTTTTGTTACTTTGAGCTCCACTGAATTGACCGAAGTGAGGAGATGGCACAAGAAGACATTTGGTTTCTGACTCCAAAAATGAGTTTCTCTAATAAGTTATATATATAGAAGACTGTAACTGGATGTGGTTCCTGTGAGCTGATCCCAGACACTTCCAGAGTTTGCTATAGATATTCTACGTATTTAGTGACAAATACAAGCTAAGAAGCTGCTTTGTGCAGTATGAACACCATCACTTTGCTTACAGGTACCTTCCTTCTAGTGTCTTGGCACATATGGCCTTCCTGTCTCTGAAACTAGAAGCCCAGACTGGAGGAAAAGGCTTATGGGCTTTGCACTGGTTTTTTGGGGGTATGCTTATTTTTTTAGGTGTGCTGCTGTCCCATTCCTAAAAATATTATAGTTGAAATAGCAATTGCAAAAATTAGTAGTGAGTAACAGGAGGGAGCATGTGTTAGCTGGTGAGAAGTACAAAGCAGAGCATGTGTCCAAGCCCAGCTTTTCAGAGTGAGTGAAGACCTGGGTCCTGTCAACATGCAGTGTTTGATGTAGATTTGGGACTAAATGGGCTTCAGGAGGGATCCTGCAATGTTAATGGCATGCATCTTGGCAGGTTGCTTTAAATGTTCTGCACAGTCTCCTCTGTAACCTCTTAATGATCAGACTGTTTGGGGTTTCTTTTCAGATTTAAACATGACTGCTTTGCAGACCTAAATTGAACTGTAATTTTGCCTTGTAGCTGCCAGAAGCTCTATTAAGTTGTATTGGACCTGTTAAGTGCTCAGGTGATCATAGAAAAAGGTTGTCGTTGTTGTTCATTATCCTAGATCTTCTGCAGGCAGTAAACAAAGCTAATCTTGAGCAAGATGTTTGACTTCTATTCATCTTGATATTTAGCTTCTCTCACTCACAGTTCTGGTGATCTAGTATTCTTCATGCTTCTTCCCCAGCTGGACTGTGCTGCCCATTTTTAACAGTTTAGGAATCAATGCCTCTTTCCCTCTCCATCCAAAAGTTCCATCAGTTAAGTGGTATTCCAGTCTGAGTGGTGCTATGTCCTGTCTAATCTCATCCACTACTGGCTCTTCAGGCTTGTCTGGTACCTCACACAGCTGGGTTCTGCTTTTGTCTAGAGCCTCCAAGTTCTCCTTGCAGGTCAATGCTAAGTTGCAGGTAAATGTCAGTTACCCTGCTGAGCCTGGTTTGTTCAGTCAAGTGCCTTCACTGTGTGTACATCAGATAGTGCCCTTGCACTGGGAAGTGATGTTCCCTCAAGCACCAGCACAGCATGAGTGGAGGTCAGTTAAAATAAAATACTTCCCCTTGTTCTGGAGGGTTCCTCTCTGGACTGCTTCTTCCAAGGGCCTACTTAACCTTTTGTTCTTTAACAGAAATTGTTGACATCCATGTAATGAAAACTCTGCTTACAGAATATGATTGAGAATTTTCAGGAGGCAGAAGTGAAGAATTGCCATTGGACAGCACCTTGGTGCAGGAGGTAACATGAATTAAGTCAGTCACTTCACAAGAATCAATAAAATGAGCTGATTGGAGTATCATGGATCAACTGAACTCTTCCCTCCAACACCTAATTTCTGCTGTAACTGGCTCCTGTCAGCTAGCTCTGGCAGCAAGCAACTATGAATGGAAACAAAGCTGTTTCTCTACTACCTTTGTCTCTTTCAGTGCTGGGCACTGAGCCCAGTGCATGTGCAGAGGACAAAAACAACAATTCAAGTAGATGAATAATGCTAAAATTTCATCTTTAAATGCTGCACGTCATGTTTTCTCAAGTTAAAAAGGATGGGGATATTTGTTTCTCTTGATTGGTGAGATTTTTTTTTGTGTTTTAACTGAAAGCAATGCTGAATTTGGCATGAGTTCATGATGCTAGCACTAGTAAATATAAGAACATTAGCCATAGATATGGCAGAATCAATTTATCAGGCCAGGGAAAGCTGCTATATGGGGTTTTTTTTGCCTGCCATCAATTTGCTGCATCTGTGTTCAGGAAAATGTTGGAAACTGGTCACTCTTCAAAGGATTCAAAGTGAATTTAGGGTGTAAGTGAATGCTAAGCTTCTAACTTCTGAGGCAAACTTGCATGCTGCTTTTTACTGGAATATCAAGCAATGCAAATTTATTTGTATTTTGTCAATGTCTGTTTTCTATGTGTTTTCTCTCTCTAGTTATATGTATGATAGATACCTTGTTTGAGAACTGCATATAGGCACATTGCTTCCTTTTGTGACTATGGGAACAAACTGGAAGGCTGTAGGGAACTGTTGACTGTTCTGAGGATGCGGTATGTGAGTCATGCTTCCAGGTTCTTTATGCTAATGGCTATAGCTGCTACTTCTGCTTTCCTAGTATTTTGCTAGTGCCTTGGCCTGCTGCTGAGATGCTATGGAGGCTTTTTCAGTTCATGTGATTAGAAACCGGTAATTTTTTTCCTGTGTGCGCTTTAGTGACAGTGCTTCAGGCTTCTGTGTGGAAATCTGTTCAGACCATAATGCTAGGTAAATGGAGCACAAAAACTAGTGAAGCCAAGTCCTACATACAAAAGAACAGACAAAAGGCCATTCAGAAAAGGACCTGAGTACTTGTTTAAGCCTGTGGGTTGATTTTTCTTTAACTGCAGTAAGTGATGAGCATATGCTTAGAGCTGTACAAATAAGTTTGTGCTTCCAATAACTGTAACTCCTTGTGACTTTTGTAGGGTTTATGCATACATTTAAGCACATCCTTAAGTACCTTCCTGAATAAAGGCTGTCACTATATTGTGGTGATTATCAGAAGAGCTTGTTACAGAATGACACGATACTCAAGGTTCAGGGAGCTTTAGTCCAACGCCACTAGTCCTACTGGGCTTTGCGTAATAGTCTGACACAAAGCTGGAACCGGTGTTGATCAGTGTCTTTAACAGTCACTTCACTTTCATCTCTGGCTTTTCAGTGGTTTTAGTTTCAAAACTTAGATTCAGGGAAATCTCTGAAAGATCTTGTGCAATATTTTCTCAAACTTGGCACTGCTGGAGCTTCCTCTAAACTGTTGTCAGTTAAAGGGTTCAACAGTTGGAGGCCTCGTTAACTATTAGAGTATGTACTTGCTCAGGAGAAACTGAGTTCTTACTGATGTCACACTTCCTGCAAGGTGTTAACGACATTCTGAACTGCATTATCCGTAGTGCTACTCAGATTTGCTTGGGCAAAATTTGTGAAAGGTAGGTTTTGAGACTGCAGTGGAGTTGTTTTTCTGCAAATGAAATGGTGAGCTGGTAGGTTTTATGCTTGTACCCATGGTGATGATTTTTCTAGTACAGGAGGTGAACGCAGTGTCAAACGTGTTCTGTATTTCCCCAGTGTGTGTGCTATAGCTGCTAGTGTTGTTGGAGGAAGACATAGACTCCTTCAAAAATGCATAATATTTCTCTAGTTCTGTCATCTGTCACAGGTATAGGTAAGGTTGTTCTTACCACAAACCATGTCAGTATATTCCCAGTTAGTATTTGGCTCTCTACTTTTAATTTCTTCTGTAACAGAAACAAGTAATAATTGATGAGTGAATGTGTTCATTTACTTTAAGTTTAAATTTGTTTCTCTTTTTTTCTCATAGTAAACTACTGGGTATTTGTGTTTAAAGCAGTCAAGTTTGGAAAAAATGTGATTTCAAATGAGAAGCAGGCTAATTCAGAGCAGAAACAGACCTTAAAGACCTATTGTACTTTGAAGAAAGATAAACTTTAAGGAATACTTCCTATCAAATGTTTCTGGGCATTCTAAAAATCATTAAGATAGGTGAGTGTTTTTCGTAATTCCAAAGATATGGCAGCTGATAGGAATAGGATGTCTCTCACATCTTATTGTGATAGACAAAATTAATTGGGCACTGGACTGTAAGTTAGTGGTTGCCTGAGGAGCCATGATGATGGCCTGAATAGATTCGTTGTGGAACAGCCAGTGACGTTGGCAGCTGGTGTTTCAAAATGGGTACTTCACTTAAGCTGAGGAAAACTATAAAGAAAATTGATCATGGGGACGAAGTTGTTACCAAAATAGAATCTTCGCTCAGTTCTGTCCAGCCGTTGTTTCTGTCTGCTCATGTGGACTTTTCCTGATCATCAAATGCTACTCTTAAACCCGAAAAGCTTTTTTAAAAAAAAATATTTTTTGATGTACCTGGTTGTTGCCTGTAACCCTAAGTATATTTCTGTGGCATAGGATATAGTGTGAAGAGGGCAACCACACAGGATGCTGGGATAGTTCAAAGCACTGAACAAAACAGACCCAGACAACAGGCTGGCATTGTTCTATTCCATCATTCTGTTTTGAACCCAGATTTTTTTGACAAAAGACTACTAACTCTTGGCTCCAATGCCAACCTAGGAAATTCTTAGAAGACTTTCATAATCCAGGTAGCATTTGGCAAGCCCTCTGGAATTTGAATTTAATGTCAGGCAACAGCAGGC